GCCACCCAGGTGCCCCTATTCATTGGTACTTTAAATTCACTGTCTGACAGTTCTGTTAACTATGTCATCCTCAGTCTGTTGATTATTTTGATTCTTCAACAGTGGGTTGTTTTTTATTTTTTTGCATGTTTCATAAATGTTTGCCTGAATGATGGACATCCTGTGTAAGAGGAGACAGACTGAGGAAACAGTATAAAAATGGGTATGGCTAAGGGCACCTGGGTGGCTCAGTCACTTAAACGTCCAGCTTTGGCTCAGGTTATGATCTCACAGTTCTTAAGCTGGAGCCCCACACTGGGCTCTGCGCTCTCAGCGCAGACCCTGCTTTGGATCCTCTGTCTCCCTCTCTCTCTGCCTGCTCCCCTGCTCCCCTTGCTCACTCACTCTCTCGAAACTAAATAATAATTCAAAAAAAAAAATAGGTATGGATCTTTTTCTCCAAGCTATTAGTTTGGGATCGAGGGGAGGGTTTGAGTCAATCTCTTCAGGAATTGGGCTGGGCTTGGGTTTTGTTAGGATTACCTGAAGTGCATTGTCTGCTTCAAATTCCTCTAGTGCCACCCTCTGCTTAGGGTGGGAGCTGGTTTGCCCAGAGTGTTTTCTCAATGTTCTTGCTTCACCCTCAGCTTTAGGTTTTCGACTCTCTTTCCACAATCTTACCCTTCCCCAGGGGTAGACCGCTGTTGCTTTTACTTGCTAGCAGGGAACAGGGAAGTTCTCGGTTGTCCTGGCTCAGTCTCAGGCAAGCCCTATATCCCTGGATCGCAGGGGGTTGGGCTTTCTCCCATTAGTAAGAAAACTAAAGGCCTGAACCCAGAACAGTTTCCTCCTCTTCCCTCAAGGTTTATGGGTTTTTGTCCTTTTCACTCCTCCTAGCCACAATGGAAAATGGAGTTTACTCCCTTCCCCCAGTGGCTTAAAGCTGTTTTCTGTAGGGAGAAAAGGGTCCAAGCAGGCCTGTACCACCTAATGAGTCTTTCTCTGGTATCCCTTGCTTTCCCCACTTTTTCTCAAGAGAAACTGTTGGGAGGACCTTGGAGAAATGCCTATGGTGGTGGTGGGGGGGGGTACCTACCATGTGTCTGCAGCTCTCAAAGATTCTATACTTTCATGAAGCCCACATTTAGATTTTAGCAATTCATTAAAAACTTAGCTGAATTCTTCTTTCCCCTTGTATGACAGCCCTGTCTTCTTCCTGTGCTCTGTTACAGATTAGCTAGGCCTATATCCCACCTCTTATGGATCCAGAGAGATTGTGACTGTATATTACAGCTCATTCTTATTTTAGGATGGGAGCAATACTCTTTTCAGCTTTCTGTATCCTAAGTGGAAGACAGAATTCACTCTGTGAATTGAAATACAACCTATAAATCCACAACTCCTAAATTTACATTTCTAGTCTGGACTTCTTTCCTAGACTCTGGACCCATATATATATCCAACTGCCTACTGGACAAATCTACCTGCATGGTTTGGCAGACAGACTCTAAGGTGGCCCCCATGATCCCCACCTGGTATTCATGCCTGAGTAATCCTTTCCCCTTGAGTGTGGGAGGGAACTGCAACTTGCTTCTAATCAACACAATAAGGCAATGGGGTATCATTCCTATGACTGCATTATATTTTTTGGCAAAGGAATGGGGTATCATTCCCTTGATTATATTATATGGTATCATAAAAGACTCCGTCTTGCTAGCCGACTCATTCTCACCCTTCTGCTGGACTGAAGGAAGCAGGCTACCATGCTGTGAACTACTTGGGGAGGGCCACATGGCAGCAAATTGCAGATGACCTCTAAGATCTGAGGGTGGCTTCCAGCCAACAAAACACTGAAGCTCTCAGTCCTACAGGTGCAACAAAACGAATTCTGCCAACAACCCAAGTGAACTTGGAAGTGGATTCTTCTCCAGTCTAACCCACAGATAAGAACCCAGCCCCAGCCAATACCAGAGTACCTAGCCAAGAAGTTTCTGACCTCACAGAAACTGTGAGATCATCAATGCTGTGTTGTTGTGAGACATTAAATTTGTGGTAATTTGGCTTGCAGCACAGAAAACTAATACAGACAGTATCACAAACTTAACATGCCAATATTACCTCCAAAAGAAAAAACCATGCTCTCGTGTTGTCCATCTTAATTAAGTGGTAATTCCATTCCTACAGTTTATTCAAGCCAAAAACTATAGGGTCTATCTTAATTTCTTTTTCCTCTCAAATCCACATGTAATCCAAAAGTAAACACTGTTGGCTTCACAAGCAAATTTTATTATATTATTACCTCACCACCACTGCTGCTACCACTGCTACTTGGTTCAAGTCACTATCACCTCCCACACCCATGACTGTAACAGCCTCCTAAGCGGCTTTCCCACTTCCACTCGACAAAGCAGCCAAAATAGTCCTACTAAAGTATCAGTTAGAGAATGTTTTTACTCAAAACACTCCAAAGGGTCCTCATCTCACCCAGATTAAAAGCCAAAAGCCTTACAGTGGCAATACAAGGCCTACCTTATCCAGCACTCCCCTTCCCACTCCAAACCTCTCTGTCTCATCTCACGTCATTGTGCCCTCACTCAGTCGTCTGCCACCACACCAGCCGCCGTGATGTTCCTAAACCATGTCAAGCTCATATCAGTCTCAGCATTTTACAACTGATGGGACTTCTCTGACCACTTCAGATAAAAAGGCAAGTCCACCTGTCCCCACCAACTTCCTATCCCTCCTACCGTTTTCTCAGTCTCCACAATACACACTATGAACTGATACCTGTTTTATTGCTTGTCTCCTCAAAATTAGAATGTAACGTCCATAAGAGCGGAGACTTCTGTTCACTGCTGTATTCCCAGCTTATACTGAATGACTGAACAAATATTACTGTAGTAGACACTGTTTCCTTTAAACTAATTTAGAGTCTGATCAAGTAGTCAAGCCACAAGAATTTGGACATAAAGTCAGTCACATTATTTTTCAAAATCACTACAAAATTACTTAATTACTTAGAAATGTGCTTATTCTACAACTCACTATAAATATGCTTCTAAGGAAACTTGAAAAACATTCATATCACACCAAAATAACTGAAGTATACAAGTAAGCCAAGTGTACTTAAACATGTCTGTGGAGGGAGCTATTAACAGAAAGAAAACTGGAAGACTCCATAACTGTTTTTCCAGCACCATCTGGAGTAGATATAATTATTCTACACAGATACAGGCAAATAATATAGAAGGATGCATCAAGCTAGAAGCATTAATAACCCATTAGGGCCTTGGCTCTCAAACATTACGGTCTTAAGACCGTTTAACACTCTTAAAAACTGAGGACCTCCCCAAATTCTTATTTATAGAAGAATCTACCTTAATCTACTAACTTTTAATCTTTAACCTACTAACACTTACATTTAAATTAAAACAAAGGGCACCTACATGGCTCAGTTAGTTAAGCATCCAACTCTTGACTTTGGCTCAGGTCATGATCTCATGGTTTGTGAGATGGAGGCCCACGCTGCGCTCCACACTGACAGCACAGAGCCTGCTTGGGATTCTCTCTCCCCCGCTCTCTGTCCCTCCCCTGGTGCCTCTCTTTCAAAATAAATAAATAAATAAATAAAACAAAAAATTTAAAAATATTTAATAATTCATTTAAAAATAATGTAAACTATTACATGTTAAATGTTTTCATTTCTGTAACTAAACTTCCCACCCCAAATTAGTGAGAGAATGGCATTATTTTTACATTTCTGCAAATTACCTTAATGTCTAACAGAAAGTAGATGAACTCTTACTGGCTTCTACATTAAATATGTTGCCATATGTTGTTTTGGATGAGATATACGAAGAAAGTCTAGCCTCACACATACATGTAATTGGAAAAGGGAAGACTGTTTTAAGTCTTTTCAGATAATTATGGATATTCTTGGACACATTAAAACTCGACAGGTTGTAGTTTCTTACAGGTTGTTTGCAATGTACAATCTGAACGTTGCACTGCATATTCGGTTAACATTAAAATCCACTGGTCTACGTTGTGCTTTAATCAAATTTTATACTCATGCATGATTCTGTTACACAAGTTTGTAACTAAAAAGTCTATACCTACTGGGAAACTGTTAAGCTCACAATGGTGAATACAAGCTTTGACCAAATCTTATACTCCTGCATGATTCTGTTACAGAAGTTTGTAACTAAAAAGTCTGTAACTACTGGGAAACTGTCAAATTCACAATGGTTGAAAGTTCAAATGTTATAGCTGACCACAAATAGTCAGTTGTTTCCTTAAAGTGGGTTAGGTGCATTGATCAGACAATTTGAAATTTATAAAATATCATTTCTGCAACATGCATGCCTATCAATTTAAGGTCTCTAATGTATATACGACTATTTTCCAGTTAAGCAGAAATATTTCCTACATACCCACAATAAATTGTTGAATTAAAGATGGTTTGCCTCTTAAAACTATTAGTCTGTTTTAAGTTAGCTTAAAGAGCCAAATAATTTTTCATTTTTCTCACACAGCAACATCAGTCTGAAAAAAATCTAATCATGTCCCACATAAAATTAAACCCATTTCTTCAAGTTTTGAGACGTATATACCTATTAAAACAACACTGAGTATACTTCACATGAAAGAAAATAAAACTGATCTTGGGGCGCCTGGGTGGCTCAGTCAGTCAAACATCCGACTTCAGCTCAGGTCATCATGATCTCACAGTTCGTGAGTTCAAGCCCTGCGTCAGGCTCTGTGCTGACGGCTCAGAGCCTGGAGCCTGTTTCAGATTCTGTGTCTCCCTCTCTCTCTGCCCCTCCCCTGCTCACGCTGTGTCTGTCTCAGAAATAAACAAACATTTAAAAAAACAAAACAAAACCTGAGTAATCTTGACAGGATTTTAAAATCAAATCTACTTTCCTTCCATACATTTCAACGTTTTACAGTCCTTTCTGCTTGGTTCTTTTTATAAAATATTACTAATTAGCCCAGCATCTTGGCAGGGAAAGCCTTACCTGTTGAGCAATATGAGAAATACGAGCTCCCTGAACTGCTGACCCAGGCTGCGGTGCTGTCTCTGAAGTGTTACTCTTGTGAGACTCTTCCATAATCAACTACAAGGGGAAAAAAGACAGTTAAAAGATGCTTTCTAACTTCATTTTCAAGAAATCCTAAGACATTTCCCTCCAAAACGTGTACTTTTTCAGAGGAACAAGACAAAGCTTTTCTATGCTATGGGCTGAGCTCAATTTATCCAAACTCAATATGTTCTGACGTTCTGCTCTGTGTAGAGATCTAATTATAAGATCTCAAGAAATGGCAAATAAAAAGTGCTACAGATTACGTGTAACATACTGCATAGTTGTATAAAAACTGGCAATGTGGATGCCTCCATAAAAAGAATTGATAGCTATGGAACAGAGATAGGAAGACTTTACCTTGTATACTTTTTCATTTTTAAAATTTTGTTCCCATGAACATGTTAAAATTTAATGAATGGCACATATATGTGTAAATTATTGTGACTAAGTTTTCAAATGTTATCCCACTCAAGAAGTATGACAGTCATCTAGGGAACCCGGGTGGCTCAGTCAGTTAAGCCTCCGACTTCGGCTCAGGTCATGATCTCATGGCTCATGGGTCCAAGCCCTGCATCAGGCTCTGTGCTGACAGCTCAGAGCCTGCTTGAGAGAGAGAGAGAGAGAGAGAGAGGGAGGGAGGGAGGGAGACTCAAAAATAAAATAAACATTAAAAAAAAAAAAAGGAAGTATGATAGTCTTCCTATCTATAGACACTAGCATTCTTCTCCAGTCTAGGGAGTAGTTTCTCCCTGCACATAGGTTTTTATACAGAGAATTAATTGAGTAGAAGCTGAAGTAAATAAGTAAATAAGTAACACCACACCTAAATAGGTTCTAAAGATCTAGATGATCTAGATAATCAACTACAGGATATGCAGGCTTGGTAACAATGAGAATACATAGGTTATGAGAGATGGGGTATGTCAAACGGGAAGACAACCACTTAGAAAAAGACTGCTGGGGTGCCTGGGTGGCTCAGTTGGTTAAGCGTGCGACTCCTGATTTCAGCTCAGGTCATAATCTCATGGTTCAGGAGTTTGAGCACCTTGTCGGGCTCTGTGCTGACAGTGTGGAGCCTTCTTGGGATTTCTCTCTCCTCACCTCTCTGCCCCTCCCCAGCTCACTCTCTTTCTCAAAAAATAAACATTAAAATTAAAAAAAAAAGAGTATTAACAGATCTGGGTAGAAGTTAAAGTTTTTATGATTATGTACAAAGGCATAAAGAGAAAAAAGAGGGGGCTGGCCAGCAAATATGAAAAGATGTTCAACATCACTAATCATTAGGGAAATGCAAATCACACCTACAATGAGATATCATCTCAACACCCATTAGAATGGCTAATATTAAAAACAAACAAACAGAAAATAAGCCTTCAAGAGGATGTGGAGAATTTGTGCACTACAGTTGGGAATATAAAAATGGAGTAAGATCGCATAAATCTTTCGCCTTTTACTAAAGATTTCCGTGGGGAATATAAAAATGGTGTAGCCGCTATGGGAAACAGTATGGTAGTTACTCAAAAAATGAAAGATAGAATTACTATATGATCCAGAAATCCCACATGGAAGTATATATCCAAAAGATTTGAAAGCAAGGTCTTACAGATGTATTTGTATACCCATGTGCATAGCAACACTGTTCACAAGAGGCAAAAAGTGGAATTAACCCAAGTGTGCACAGAGATGAATGGATAAACAAAATGTGCTATATACATATAATGGAAATTTTTTTTAATGTTTTTTATTTATTTCTGAGAGAGAGAGAGAGAGAGCATGAGCAGGGGAGGGCCAGAGAGAGAGAGAGAGAGAAACACACACACAGAATCCGAAACAGGTTCCAGGCTCTGAGCTAGCTGTCAGCACAGAGCCTGATGCGGGGCTCAAACCCACAAACCGTGAGATCATTACCTGAGCCGAAGTTGGACGTTCAACCGAATGAACCACCCAGATGCCCATATAATGGAACATTATTGAAACTTGAAAAGAAAATTGTGACACATGTTACATGAATGAACCCTGAGAACGTTATACTAAGACAGTCACAATAAGACAAATACTGTATGATTTCACTTATATATATATTCTATATATTTCACTTATAGTCAACCCTTAGAAACAGAATCAGAATATTGGTTGCTGGAAGCTGGAGGGAAGGAGAAATGGGGAGCTGCTGTTGAATGGGTATAAAAAAGTCCTGCAGACTGGTTGTGCAACAATCTGATATATTAATCACTACTGAACTCTGTATTTAAAAGTGGTTAAGATAGTAAATTTTATGTTATGTGCGTGGTACCACAATTTATTTTTAAAGGCAGAAAGGCAACTACGTACTTGCCCCTTACCATCACTGACTTGGTAAATGTGAAGTTTAACTCTACATATTTTCTTCTTCCCTTTTTCAGAAAATAGAAATTCATTCTTAACATCTGGATTAAAGCTATTATTTTTTAGTCACAGAGAAAAGGTATGTCGCCTTAAACATAAGGTGTTTTTAATTTCTTTCCATCTAAATATATAATTAGCCTTTTTTTCTAACATGAAAAATAAATAACAGAAAGAAAAAAGGATAACAAAACCTTAATCACCACACTGTCTAGTTTCTTTTCAGTGTTCTCTTTCCACAACTTTTAAAAAGTTGTTAACATAGGACAGAGCCTGGGTGGCTCACTCGTTTAAATGTCCAACTCTTAATTTGGGCTCAGGTTGTGATCTCACACTTCAGGAGATCAAGCCCTGTGTTTGGCTCTTTGCTGACAGTGTGGAGCCCACTTGGGATTCTTTCTCACCCTCTCTCTCTCTGCCCCTTCCCCACTCACGGTCTCTCTTTCAAAGTAAATAAACTTAAACAAAAAAAATTGTAAACATACTGTATGTACAATTTTGTATCCACTATATTGTATCTTGTTCCCATTTATCACTAGTATTTCCTAGATTTTAAACTGAAACATACTTGGGAGGGTGCCTGGGTGGCTCGGTCAGTTGGTCATCTGACTTTGGCTCAGGTCATGATCTCGCCATTCATGGGTTCAAGCCCTGTGTCAAACTCTGTGCTGAAAGCTCAGACCCTGGAGCCTGCTTCAGATTTTGTCTGCCTCTCTCAAAAATAAATAAAAGCATTAAAAAAAAAAAAGAAAACTGAAACATATCTAAAAGCTACAAAATATTCCATTCAGTGAATAGATATAATTCCTAATTTTTTACCAAACAATACTGTGATTGGTATCTTTCGTACAGAACACTTTTCCACAATTAAAATTATTTCTATAGGATACGTTCCAAAAAAAAGAATTACTTGATCAAACAGTTTGAATATTTAAAGTTTTCTGAAGGAATTATACATGGAATAAGCACATAAGAAAGCAAGGATAGGTGAAAAACAATACATTGTTTACATTTCTTTAATTCTCTATTAGTTGTGTGATATATCTGTTCATATTATTTCTCCATCCATCTAACAGATTTTAGTGTTTTTCTTAATATAAATTTCATTCTATCAACTGGAGGTAAATATTTTCCCAATATGACTTCACTATGATTATTTTAAAGTTTTAATTTTGGGGGCACCTGGGTGGCTCAGTCAGTTAAGTGTCCGACTTTGGCTCAGGTCATGATCTCATCGTTCATGGGTTCGAGCCCCGCATCGGATTCTGTGCTAACAACTAGCTCAGTGCCTGAGCCTGTCTTCAGATTCTTTACCTCCCTCTCTCTCTGACCCTCCCCTGCTCACGCGGTCTTTCTCTCTCAGAAATGAATAAAAATTTAAAAATAAAATAAAATTTTAATTTTGACAAATTCATCTATTCCTTCTTATGTTGCTTCTTCGGTCACATATGCGTCTCTTCCTTAGGAAGAGCATTTTGATTTTTAATCTTCACTGATACGAGGGTTAACCCCACAGATAAAATATACAGACAACATCAAAGATGGAATTATTTTCTACATACTGCCTCTACTTTTTTTTTAAATATTTTTATTTATTTCTAGGAGAGAGAGAGAGAGAGANGACAGGACTGCCACATTTTGCTTTCATTTAAAGTTCTTTTTATTGAAGTAACAATGTATACAGGAAAGCAAAATCATAAAGGTGCAGCTCAATGTATTTTTTCAAAGTAAACACCCATGTAAATTCATTAAAAAAATTTTTTTTAATGTTTTTATTTATTTCTAGGAGAGAGAGAGAGAGAGACAGTGTGAGCAGGGGAGGGTCAGAGAGAGAGGGAGTCACAGACTGAAACAGGCTCCAGGCTCTGAGCTGGCAGTCAGCACAGAGCCCGACACGGGGCTCGAACCCACGAACCGCGAGATCATGACCTAAGTGAAAGTCGGACGCTCAACCGACTAAGCCACCCAGGCGCCCCCATACTGCCTCTACTTTTCTAAACATTTTATTTTTAAGTAATCTCTACACCCAACACGTGGCTCAAATTACAACCCCGAGATCATGAGTGGTATGCTCTACTGACTGAGCCAGCCAGGAGGCCCAAAAATGCCTTTTTTAACACTCCATTTCAGAAGATGTAAGTTAGAATGTAAAAGAAAAGTATACAGTGCTAAAGCACTGAAAAAAAACTATAAAAGATTTTTAGAAACCTTTTTAGGAGCACTTGGGTGGTTAAGTGTCCAACTTTGGCTCAGATCATGATCTCATGGTTCGTGAGTTCGAGCCCTGTGTAAGGCCCTGCGCGGACAGCTCAGAGCCTGGAGCCTGCTTCCGGGATTCTGTGTTTCCCCCTCTCTCTGCTCCTCCTGCACTCACGCTCCCTCTCTCAAAAATAAACATTAAGATTTTTTTTAATTAAAAAAAACTTTTTAAAATTACTGGAAATGATACTTTTCTGTTTCACTGTGACTCACTGATGTTTCCTCCGTAACAATATCATTAAGAAATCCTATATCTAATGGAAACTAACACAATCAACAAAACACACATTTCCTAGTAAAAGCCACCATAGTCAGCAAATAAGATTTTGGACAATTATTACAACCACATTTCCTATGGAAAATAAGATAGCCTATTTTCTATTAATTTTTTTTAAAGAGTAATCAACTAGGGGCACCTGGGTGGCTCAGTCAGCTGAGCGTCCAACTCTTGGGTCATGATCTCATGGTTTCATGAGTTCAAGCCCTGTGCTGGGCTTAGCATGCTGGCAGTGCAGAGCCAGCTTGAGATTCTCTCCCTCTGGCCCCTCCCTCGACTCACACTATCTAGGTCTCTCTCAAAATAAGCTTTAAACAAACAAAAAAAAAGGAATCAACTAATTTGTTTTTCCCAAAATGGAAACAGCTTTATAGTTTCCTCTCACTGTAAACAATACATACACTATACTTGTTTAATGTTAAGAGTGTAACCTTTATTTACTCACTTTTGAACTATTATTCCTAAAATTAAGGTTAAGATTAACGATCTGTTAAAAACTTGTTCCTCAATACAGAATAAACTGTATGTGTACAAAGGCATTTTCTATGAAAGTAAAGTAGTCCCTGGCACCAGAGGGAAGCTTAACATTAGACAAGGGTAAGTAGGACAGAATGGGGGGGGGGGGGGCTGTGGGGGGCGAGCAATGAAACACAGCTTCACAAGTACCATCAATGGGAATGAATTTTGGGAACTGGGAAACTGCAGCAGGTTATGATCTTGCTGACATATAGAGATCGTAATTAAAAAGCATGGTAACTTTTAAGAAAACTTGCAGAGAAAGGAATATAATATGCTAGGTACTAAACTAGGAACTTTTTAAATATCATTTCCTGGATTCTCTATTTTAGAGATGTGTAAATTGAGGCTCAAGGAAATTGTCATATACCATGGATCTCACAGTAAGATGTGATTACATGATCGGAGGCAAGAACTATTTAATCCAAAACCCATGTCGGTTTTTTTTTTAATTGTTGTTGTGTTTTTTGTTAATTCCACACTGCCCCTCTTCCTCTCACATTGTCGATTTGTCCATCTGGCAAACTCCTACTCTTTTCAAGTTTCATCTCAAAGGTTATGTTCCCAACTGCTCCAGGCCCTTTCTTCCTTCCTACTTCCACTGTGCCCTGCAGTTATTTCTAATGAGGTTACTTAACACTGGGAACTCTGTTTCCCCCAGTCTCAAGGTGCCCAAGGACAGGGCCCGTATCCTGTGAATGTGTGCCCTGCCCAGCAGAGACCCTCACGCATGCAGTTGATAAACACCAACAAACACAGTATTCTCATTTGCTGAATGAAGAGGGTCTTCATTTCCTCACCTACAGAGAATACTGAGCTATGATAAGCTTGAGGGCAAGAAGTCTTTTGCTTGACATTTCCACAAGTGCATTTATGACCTCCCCCTCAAAACTGTTCCTATTAGTCACACTGCATTTATTTCAGATTTGCAAATGTGTCTGCCTTGCTTTCTCTCACCTTCAGGCTTTCACATATGCCGTTCGCTCTGCCAGAAACACTCCTTTTCTTCTCTTCATATGGCCTATTCCTTGGAGTTATTTATTCTTCCAGGCAAACTTTCATTACTCCCTCAGACTAGTCTAGAAACTCTGGCTGTATCCCCATAGCATGTTATCCCCTCTTCTCATGGCACTTATCCCAGTATTGCAACGGCCTGTTTTCTGAACAGCACCAGCAGGCAAGCTCTAGGGAGCCAAGGACCATATCCTGCCCCAACTAATGCCTTGCATATTTATTAATGCTTAATCAATCAATGGGTTTAGTTAGGTTTATCTAGCTACAGATGTAAATAATGGTTAAAGAAATAGATTTAGGGGCACCCTCCTACACTGTTGGTGGGAATGTAAACTGGTGCAGCCCCTCTGTAAAACAGTGTGGAGCTTCCTCAGGAAACTGACACTAGAACTCCCCTAGACCCAGCAATAGCACTGCTGGGAATTTACCCAAGGGATACAGAAATGCTGAGGCATAGGAGCACATGTACCCCAATGTTCATAGCAGCACTCTCCACAATAGCTAAAACATGCATGGAAAGAGCCTAAGTGTCCATCAACACATGAACGGATCAAGAAGATGTGGTTTATCTATACCATGGACTACTACATGGCAATGAGAAAGAATGAAATCTGGCCATGTGTAGCAACATGGATGGACCTTGAGGGTGTTATGCTGAGCGACATAAGTCAGGCAGAGAAGGACAAATATCATATGTTTGCACGTATAGGAGGATTAGGAGGAACTTGACGGAGGAACAAGGGGGAGAAGAAGGGGGGAAATGGTGGGGGAGGGGGAGAGAGGCAAACCATGAGAGACTCTTGAATGCTGACAAAAACTGAGGACTGATGGATGTGGGGGGGGAGGAGGGATAGGCATGGAGGAGGGCGCTTGTGGGGATGAGCACTGAGTGTTATGTGGAAACTAATCTGACAATAAACTATTTGTAAAAAATAAATAAAAAGAAAAAAAAAAGAAATTGATTTAGGGGCGCCTGACTGGCTCAGTCAGATGAGGATTGGACTCTTGATTTCGGCTCTGCACTGACAGCGCGGAGCCTGCTTGGGATTCTGTCTCCCTCTCTCTGCTCGTCCTCTGCTTGCTCGTTCTCTCTCTCTCAAAAATGAACAAACATTTAAAATAACATATATTTAGCCAATTACTTCAATTCAGCTTTAGACTCAGGACAATTCAGACACAAGAAAACATCCTACTTTAGAGTTAGAAATTAATTATAATTAAGTAGAATGCTATGTGAAGGAAAAAGCATGTTTGGACGGGACTACCACCTGCTGGTGACACAGTGGTACTGTACAAATGTACCGCAGACCAAACATAACCTTAAAGGATAACTACAAGTAGTAGAACGAACACATTCAGCATTAGGACAACAGTACTGATTCTGATTGGGACACTGCACACTATAAACACTATAGGAAAAACAGCATTTTAATAAAACTACCTCTTTTTGTTGGTTATGAAATTCTCAAGACAAAATACATTTTGCAACGTAAACAAACAACATACAGACTCTTATCACAGACCAGGTCAGCCTGACAAAGATGCCTGCCAAAACCACACTGAAAAAGCCTTAGAAGGTACCCTCAAGGAGTAGGACAGCTATCCCCGAGTTTATCGAAAATTTGTGTTACACCACTTCACTTTAAAAAAAAAAAAAAAAAAAAAGACGTACACTAGTACCCGATTTCGCTAACCAAAAGAAATCTGAAGACGGTTTTCACTTTCAGGGGAAAGGAAAAGAGCGAAAACGGCATTCAGGGTCTGTTTCGCAGCCAGCCATCACAGAGGCAGCCTGGACCACAAGGGCAAGAGTGGCCGGCCAAACTCCTTCCCCCAGAATTACACCCGCATCTCAGCCTCAAGTCTCCACGGCTTTGAACTCTGTGAGCATCCGGGCTTTACCTCGACTTATTCTGGTAGTAAGATGTGTCCTAAGGTAGCAGAAATGCCTGAGAGATTCTTTTCCGGGTCTGGGAACACTGAAAATGTTTTCCGCATACATTAATGGTAATTGCTTCTTCGCTGTAGGCTCTTTTCTGACGGAAAGGTTGCACAGGTATGCTCTTCCTGGTAGCTTAGGGAATCCGTACTAGCCCACTGCTCCTCAAAAACTAACAGAGTAGCCATTATTGAACACGAACAATTTTAAAGCAGATCAAGCTGCACGCTCCACCGTGTCGCTGATGCTGAGAGTATACCATGCTTTGCTTTTTGTGATAAAGGAGAAAATCAAAGAGACCGTTTCCTCGGTTTGACCCTGCCTAGAGATGAAAAGAGGAGCTTCTATCATCCCACAGCCTCCTTCCTCGCTCATCAGCTCCACCTTTCCATTACTGCTTGGTACGTCTGTGTCATTACCGCACCCCACTCAACCGTAAGCTCCCTGAAGGTAAGGGCGGCTTCCGCCCTCCACGAGGGCGCCCGGTGTGCTCCGGGGGCTCCCAGACGGACCTGAACCGGTCCCGAGCAGCTGAGCGGAAAACGCGCGGAGGCCAAGGCCACGCTGCCCTCCCCGCCCCATTCCTAGACCTACGACGGAAGGCGCTGTGCAAGGGCCACAGAGGGGCCGCTTCAGAAGCTAAACGCACCCCCCGCGGGAGGTCTCCGGCTTTATTCTGCTTGGGGGCTGGGAACCAAGGGGGGAACAGACGACTTAAGGGGAAACAGCCGGGCCAGGCACGAGAACCGGAAGCGCGCTCGGTGCGGGGACAGCGGGCAGCCCCTCCCCCTTCCGCCGCGCGCCCTCCGCGCCCCTCCCCCACCGCGGCCGCCGACGCGCGCGACCCCCCACCCGGCGCGAGACCCGACTCGCCGACCCCGCCGGCGCCTAGTCCCCGCGCCCTCCCGCTGCCCAGGGACACGGGAACACGTCCCACCCCCGCCCCCTGCTTACCTGTGGCTGCCGCCTCGCCGCTGTCCGGGGCGGGAACTTCCACTCCCCCCTCCCAGGTGGATCCGAAATTCTCTGCCCACTTCCCCACGCCCTCACGCGGCGGGGTATGTGCGTCTCTCAGGGATCAGGCGGAGCGGGGAGAATCTGTGTCACTCAACAGCCAACTGTCCTAAGCCACCGTTTCCTCGGCAGTCAGGGCTGCCACTGGCGGCATGATCTACACCAGGCCGGGGGCGGGGTAGGAGAGGGGGGCAAAACTGAGTAATTGAGCGTGGGGGGTGAAATTAAGGCGGTCCCTCCCTACGGGCCGCCGTCCTACGTCACCGCGTTGCTCACGTGACGCACCGCCATCTTGTGCCGGGTTGCTTCGGAAAGCCCAGTGCGTCCCCCACAGGTGTTAACGCCGGCGAGAGTTGGAGTAAGCGGCCCGGGGTCTTCAGGACCTCTGCCGTCACTCCTCCCTCACGTGTGCTTTCGGAGGCTCGCGACAGCTTGGTGGCGTCGGAAGGCCGCTCGGTGTGGGGTGGTGTTTTCATCGATTCGGGGCGTCGCTCTCCGCTCAGCTGCGGCTTGGTCTGGGTTGGGTGATCAGGTCCCGAACTGTCGTCCCTGGCCTTGGTCCACACGTCCTCTGCCCGGGACTTGTAGAGAGAAGTGACTTGAAGCAGAGACGTTTGCCTTCCTCCTCTTTTTTTAGTTTGCCCAGACTTTCTAGCGCCAATTGCGTTGAGCTGCGTCCTTTATCCCGTATGAAAAGATTTTCTCCAAGGACTGCCTGCGCGCGCACACACACGCAACCACGTTGCCGGCAGGGTGTTTTGTGCTCTGCTTCACGTGTCACGCTGACACGTTTTAACCCCAGCAATGAGAAGGGAGTGCTGTAAAAATGTTACGCCGTCATCTTAATACGTTACAGAAACTTAAAAATCTTCTTACATTCTCTAACTTTCTGCAGTAGGGAGTATGCGTTATTCTGATTTTTCTTCTTTATCCATTTGCTTGCAAAATATTTTTTGTGGCTTTATTGTGATAACAATGATTAAGTCTTTTAGTGTGTTCTTGACAAAAGTCGCGGGGTTTTCTGGAGTTTGACTAGTTTGAGATCTCCACAATGTAGGAAACTGATTGAGTGGATAGAGCCTATCCTGGTTTTGACCTCTAAGACCAGATAATGTTATTTAAAGCTCAAGAGTTACTCCGCCAGATACTTAAGAGTTTACCAACGTTTAGCTAATACTATTTATTCAGTAAACGTTGACCACCCATTTTAACTTAAATCAGGTGTCTGCCCTTATTTTAGGTTTTTGATTAGGCAAATTACCCAAATCTCTTCTAAGTTTGTCTTGTTATCAAAATTAGGAAAAGTATAATATTGAAGCCATGTTCCAGAATTATTCAGAGAATCGAAATGTCATCTACCATAGAAAAGCAAAACCTTTAGAGGTAAGGGAGTGAGGAAAAGGTTCTCAGACATTAGCCTTTCCTAATTAACAAAACTCAGCACCAGTCCTTCTTGAATCCAGAATGTCAAGTAACAGAACTCTGGGGTAAAACTATAAATGTTATTCTTATCCCTTCTACATGAATGTGAACTCCTTCTGATTCTCCTTTTTAAAAACTTTAAGGGGCGCCTGGGTGGCTCAGTCGGTTAAGCGTCTGACTTCGGCTCAGGTCATGATCTCACAGTTTGTGGGTTCGAGCTACTCGTCAGGCTCTGGGCTCTGTGCAGACAGCTCAGAGTCGGAGCCTGCTTCCGATTCTGTGTGTCCCTCTGTCTCTGCTCCTCCCCTGCTCATGATCTGTCTCAAAAATAAGTAAATATTTTTTAAAAAGTTTTAAAAACTGAGATATAATTGCCATATGAAACTATATTCGTTTCGGATGTACAACAAATACGTCTGAAATAATGATGTGATATGTATGTATTGCAAAACAATCACCACCGTAAGTCCCAATAGTTAGCATCCAACACAGTTACAATTTTTTCCCCTAGTGATGAGAATGGACTGGAATAGAAAAAGACACATTTGTCAAGTCAATGGCTACATACCATGTACCTGAGACCATTTAATCTGATCTAGCAAAGATATCAGACTAGGTACAATGGCGACAGTTGAGACTACTATTTGGTTAAGCTTGCCCTGGTGTACTGCCATCCTCCAGGAGTCTGTAGAACCAGGCTGGTATACACCAGACCGGAGACCATTACCTCTGAGTCCTGACTTACTTACAGGTGGCACTCATCTCCCCATTCCCCTGAGATGCAGTATTATTACCATTATTGATTTATTATTTGGCTGGGTTGGGAGCAGTTTCCGAAGCTTCTCCATTTCTGAACTTTTGGTTCTATTCCGTGGATTTATTTATAAGTCTTTCCTTATGCCAGTACCATAGCTTCATAGTAGGTTTTGAAATTCTGGAAATATGAGTACTCCAACTTTGTTCTTTTTCAAAACCGTTTTTGACTTTTCTGAATCCCTTGCATTTCCATATGAATTTTAGGATCCACTTATCCACTTCTGCAAAATAGGCATCTGGGATTTGGATAGAGATTGTGTTGAATCTGAGATCAATCGGGGGAGAATTGCCGTCCAAACAATATTAAATTTTCCAATCCATGAATATGTGGACGACTTTCCATTTTAGATCTTCCTTAGTTTTTTTCAATGGTTTTGTAGTTTTCAGTATGCAAATTGGTGCTTTCATTAAATTATGATGTATTCTATTCCTTTTGATGCTATGTTAAATAGAACTGGTTTTAATTTAATTTAATTTTTAAAGTTTGCTTATTTTGAGAGAGACAGCACGAATGGGGGTGGGACAGAGAGAGGGAGAGACAGAGAATTCCAAGTAGGCTCCACACTTAGCACAGAGCCCAACGTGGGGCTCAACCTCGCTTACCGTGAAATCATGACCCGAGCAGAAATCAAGAATCCAACACTTAACCAACTGAGCCAAGTTGGTGCCCCACATAGAATTGGTTTGTATGTATGTATGTATTTATTTAAGGTTTATTTATTTAATTTGAGACAGAGACAGTGCGAGGAGGGGAGGGACAGAGAGAGAGGGAGAGACGGAGAATCCCAAGCAGGCTTCAGGTTCTGAGCTGTCAGCACAGAGTCTGACAGGGGTCTTGAACTCACAAAACCACGAGATCATGACCTGAGACAAAATCAAGAGTCCGATACTTAACCGATTAAGCCACCTGGGCACCCCAAGTAGAACTGTCATTTATTTGGGGCGCCTGGGTGGCTCAGTCGGTTAAGCGTCTGACTTCGGCTCAGGTCATGATCTCACAGTTCATGGGTTAGAGCCCGGCATCGGGTTCTGTGCTGACAACTAGCTCAGGGCCTGGAGCCTGTTTCAGAGGCTGTGTCACGGGGAGCCTGTGTCTCCCGCTCTCTCTGCCCCTCCTCTGCTCATGCGTTCTCTCTCTCTCTCAGAAATAAAACAAAACAAACCAATTGATATTTATTTATTTATTTATTTAAAGTTTTTTCACTTGGTTTGAGAGAGACAGAGACCGTGCGAGCTGAGCAGGGGAGGGGCAGAGAGAGAGGGAGACTGAGAATCCTAAGCAGGCTCCAGGCTCTGAGCTGTCAGCACAGAGTCCGATGCGGAACTTGAACTCACAACACTGAAAGATCATGTCCTGAGCCAAAACCAAGACTCTAAAACACTTTACTGACTGAGCCCCTAGAATTGGGTTTTAAATTTCATTTTTGGAATGTTCATTACTAGTAAATAGAAACTAAATAGGTATTTTTGTATTGTCTTGATCTTGTATTCTGCAACCTTGCTGAACTCATTTAACAATTTGTATGTGTGTAGGATTTTTTATGTACAAGTCATTTCATCTGTGACTAGAGAGAGATTTAATTCCTCCTATCCAGTCTGGGTGTCTTTTTTTTTTTTTAAGTTTCTGTTTCTCTGCTAGATTCCTTATGTAGGAATTTCTTATCATTCATTGTGTATACATTTTCCTTTTTTTCCTCTAGATTTTATTTTTAAGTAATCTCTATGCCCAAAATGGGGCTCGAACCTCCAACCCCGAGGTCAAGAGTTGCATGCACTACTGACTGAGCCTGCCAGGTGACCCTACATTTTCCTTTAAGTCTCAGTATATATATAATAGCTGGTTTAACTGGCCATGTGTAGCAACGTGGATGGAATTTGAGGGTGTTATGCTGAGCGAAATAAGGCAGGCAGAGAAGGACAGATACCATATGTTTGCACGTATAGGATTAGGAGGCCTTAATGGAGGACTGTGGGGGAGGAGAAGGGGGGAATGGCGAGGAGAGGGAGGGAGGCAAACCATAAGAGACTCTTGAATGCTGAGAACAAACTGAGGGCTGATGGGGGTCAGGGGGAGGGGAAGGGGGGTGATGGGCATGGAGGAGGGCACTTGTGGGGATGAGCGCTGGGTGTTATATGGAAACCAACTTGACAATAAACTATTAAAAAAAAAATGATCCCTCTCCACTTCCCCTGCCCACTCCCCCCCACCTCCTCCTCCCTCTCCCATCTCTGGTCACTAAGAATTTAATAAAGAAGAAACAAAAGGTTTTTTTTTAAAAGCTGATTTAAGGCTTTTGACCGCTAATTGCGACCTCTGAGTGATCTTGCAGTTGGTATCTATTGTGATTGATTTACTTTTCCTTGAGTATAGATCTTTTTTGGTTTATTCACATTTCTAGTAGTTTTATTACTGGAATGAATTTTATTGCTTTACAGAGTGATTTTTATTTCAGAAGGCAGTTAATTTGAGAGGACTTAATTTCCCATCTTTTTCCTGTCACGGACAATGGCTGCAATTTCTGCCTCTTTCCATTTCCAGCTGCTTCCCAACACCCCCCCCCCCCACCTCTTTTTTTCCCATCAGGGACTCTGGGTTTTTCTCCATATAATTTAGTTTAGCCACCAGCCAAAGATTTTGACATATCCTATATGTAGATTTGAGGACTCATACTTTCTGGGGCTCTCTCCCTTCATAGATTTCCCACCAAACTACTCACTGGCTTCCCTGCCAATATGGAACTCTATCTTTTTACACCTTCAGGCAGTAGGCAGTGGCTATCAGTCAGGTTTCTTGGAATTATGGCAATGTCCTCAGACAAAAAAAAAAAAAGAAAATCACAAACACACATAAGTCACCTGTTGCATTTCATTTTTCAAAAAGTAGTTACTCTTCCATTTCTGTCTTGTGTTGGTCATTTTCCAGTGCCTTCAAATAAGTTTAAAATATATATACATATATATTTTTCAAATTTAAAAAACTCTATGGGAGGATTAATCTAAATTATTCCACTATTATGGAGACTCATGCTATTGATTTTTATGTTTACTGTGTATTCAGCAATCTTATAAACTCCTGTTTATTAATGTGTAGATTCTCTTATATTTTCTACATAGACTAGCACATCATCTTCAGATTTTTTTTCCCTTTTATCCCATTCATATAGCTCATTTCTTTCTCCCTAATTACGGAAGCCATAATCTCAAGTGCAATGCTGAGTAGAAAGTGAGCATCCTCATCATAGTTTTGCCTTTCATAGTAGTGTTTCTCAAGTGTCATCATTAAGTATTCTTTTTTACTGTAGGTTTCTGATAGATGTTCTATCACTTCAAGAAATCTCCTATTCCTTGCTTATTGGATTTTTTTAATTAGTCAGTGTTGAGGTTCATTGTGTTTCCCCTTGATCTGTTGAGATGATCGTATAGTTTTCACCT